TGTCTTCTTCCTAAATAAGACCCAAATACCCACATTTTCATACCCTCCTCACAAAGAGACCCAAATTTCCACGTTTGTCTCTCCTCTCTTCCTAAACAAGACCAAATTCCCACCTAAATATCCACATCTGTGTGGCCTCTCTTCCTAAATAAGACCCCAATTCCCCATTTGTGTGTCCTCTCTTCATGAATAAGACTCAAATACCCACATCTTTGTGTCCTCTCTTCATAAACAAGACCCAGATTCCCACATTTCTGTCTTCTTCCTAAATAAGACCCAAATACCCTCATTTTCATACCCTCTCCTCACCCTCTCTTCATGAATAAGACCCCAATTCCCCATTTGTGTGTCTTCTTCCTAAATAAGACCCTAATTGCCACGTAAACACCCACATCTGTGTGTCCTCTTTTCCTAAACAAGACCAAATTCCCACCTAAATATCCCCATTTGTGTGTCCTCTCTTCCCAAATAAGTCCCAAATTCCCCATTTGTGTGTCCTCTCTTCATGAATAAGACTCAAATTCCCCCATTTGTGCATCTTCTTCCTATATAAGACCCGAATTGCCACCTAAACACCCACATCTGTGTGTCCTCTCTTCGTAAACAAGACCCAGATTCCCCCATTTCTGTGTCTTCTTCCTAAATAAGACCCAAATACCCACATTTTCATACCCTCTCCTCACAAAAAGACCCAAATTCCTCCATTTGGGTGTCCTCTCTTCATAAATAAGACCCCAATCCCCCATTTGTGTGTCCTCTCTTCATGAATAAGACCCCAATTCCCACATTTTTGTATCCTTACCTCATAAAGAGGCCCAAATTCCCACATCTCTGTACTCCCTTCACAAAAAAACCCACCAAATTCCCCCATTTGTGGATCATCTCGTTGCATATAAGACCCAGATTCCCACATTTGTGTTCCCTGCCTTCATAAATGAGACCAAATTCCCACCTAAATTCCTACGTTTGTATACAATCTCGTCATGAATAAGACTCTCATACCCACATTTTTCTTCCCTCTTCTCATAAAAAGACCCAAATTCCCACGTTTTTGTGTCTTCTCTTCATATCTAAGACCCCAATTCCCCATTTGTGTGTCTTCTTCACAAATAAGACCCAAATACCCCCATTTTCATACCCTCTCCTCACAAAAAGACCCAAATTTCCACATTTGTGTGTCCTCTCTTCCAAAACAAGACCAAATTCCCACCTAAATATCCACATTTGTGTGTCCTCTCTTCCCAAATAAGTCCCAAATTCCCCATTTGTGTGTCCTCTCTTCATGAATAATACTCAAATTCCCCCATTTGTGCGTCTTCTTCCTATATAAGACCCAAATTGCCACCTAAACACCCACATCTGTGTGTCCTCTTTTCCTAAACAAGACCAAATT